AGCTATTAATTTCAATAGCTTCTCTTATCTTCCTTCTAAACACAGACGTACCATAATCAGCAAACCTACTAATTTGAGACCATTCTATTTCCTGTACTGTTTCTACCATGTGTTCGGCCACTTCTGACCGTTGGATCCAGCTACCTTTGCAAGCATTTTTATGTTCTATTAATCTTTGTCGCTGGTATGTTGGTGAGAGATGCCGAACTATTCGACAAAGATTAGTAGAACACAAAAATTCAATCTTTATCTAATAGGTGGTCATAAAACCTTGATGGCCGATAACATACATTATTTTTTCTACTCGAATCACTTTAAGCGGCCACTTCTGACCGTTGGATCCAGCTACCTTTGCAAGCATTTTTATGTTCTATTAATCTTTGTCTAATATCGGCATGTCTCACCAACATAACATCGACCACATGAGCAGACAATCTTGTGGCAGCCGGATCTCGATTATGTGGCATGTCTCACCAACATAACATCGACCACATGAGCAAAGAATCTTGTAGCAGCCGGATCTAGATAATGGGTTATATTTCTCTCTAAAAGATGGCATAATAGAAGAAAGTGTGAGGGTTTCTTTAAGTACTGTTTTTATGCGTCCCACCAACATAACATCGACCACATGAGCAAACAATTTTGTAGCAGCCGGATCTCGATAAGGGGTCATATTTCTTCTAAAAGATGGCATAACAGAAGAAAGTGTGACGATTTCTTTGAACACTGTTTTTATCCCTCACTTTCTTAAAAGATGACATAATAGAAGAAGGTGTGAGGGTTTCTTTGAGTACTGTTTTTATGGCCCACTTTTTCATTAATTCGCCTATCTTTTTGAGAGAAAGCATGACGTACGTTTGAGGACCAAACTGTTCGAAATTAATGATCAGGCAAGTTAACTTATCTTCATCTCGTAGTATACTTATGCTCTGTATTATTGATAGCCCTAATTTGCTACATAAAAGTGACTGAGATTAGGCCTATTCATTTCTTGATTTTCTTGCACAAAGGCTTCAAGAAAACACCGTATGAGTAGAACTTAGATAAATATAGGTAATTACTGTCCGATACTCTTAATTCAGAGCATGTTTTAAAGTTTTATCCTATAGTATTTCATCGGATTAAAAATAATAATAATAAGCCTAAAAAGTTAGACGCTAGAATCGGACCAAGGGAAGTAAGAAATATTGCATCTGAAGGAGAATGCCATGTGTTCTGCCACTTCTGACCGTTGGATCCAGCTACCTTTGCAAGCATTTTTATGTTCTATTAATCT